TCAGAAAGCTCCACCGTCGCTGGCAGAGTCTGATGCACTACTGCCATCATGCTGCTCCTGAGTTTGACTGTTACTAGAGTCATGAGTTATTGGCTGGTTTGCTAACCTCCGCCACAGTTGGTCAATGTGCCTCTGTAGCATGCGACCGTCTTCCAGGACCACTTCGTAAAAAAGTGGCCGAGTCACCTTACAAACCACAGCTACCACCCACAGTGCCCCTTGCCCATAGTTCTTCACCCAGACCAGGTCGCCAACTTGCAAGTGCCATAGTGCCTTTGGCTGTGTTGCTTGTGAGGCAACTCTATCTGGATGTAGGCAATTCAACTTTGTGATCAAACGCCGGCCCCATCTTAATTCTGCTGGGCTTTTGCCCATAGAAGTGCATGGGGTTGTATGTTGGCAGAGTAGAAAATCTGCCAGTCTGTGTTGCCAGTTACCTGAGACCATCCGCTTTAAGGATTTCTTCGTTGTTCAGACCATGCGCTCTGCTTGACCGTTCGAAGCCGGGTGAATGGGGGCTGATGTGGCGTGTCTGATCATATTTGCCCTTAAAGAGGACTGAAATTCTGAAGCAGTAAATTGGGCCCCATTATCAGAGCTATCACATCGGGTAACCCATGTGTGGCAAAAATACCCACAGTTCTTGTATGGTCCTGGCAGCAATCGTGGTGGGGACAGGTGCGACCTCTAACCACTTGAAATGACTGTCCACCACAATGAGGAAGAATTATCCCTGGAAAGGCCCTGAATAATCAATGTGGATCCTGGACCAGGGGGCGTGTGTGGTTTTCCATCGGTGGACAGGGGTATGGGGCATCTCTGGCCTAGATTGCTGGCAAATATGGCAGCTGTGTACCTGAGCCTCAATATATTTGTCCAGTCCAGGCCACCAAAGGTAGCTTTGCGCAAGTGCCTTCATCCAGACTATTCCCAGATGTCCCTAATTCAGAGACTCCAAGACTCTAGTCCTCAGTGAGTTTGGAACTACCACCTGACTACCCCACAAGATGCATCCCCTGTGGGCTGACAACTCATCCTTCTTCCTGCTGAAACTCTGAAAATTAGGCCCGAGATTATTTTCCGGCCATCCTGTGAGCACCCAGTTCAGCACACGGCTCAGCGTCATGTCTGAAGTTGTCTCTACAGTCACATCCCCTGTGTTAAGGGGAAACTCAGGCAGGTCCTGAATAGCCAGGATGCGCATGGCTGGAGCAGGGTCGGGCTCTAATTGTGGCAGGGGCAGTCTGCTAAGGCCATCTGCATGGCCAATTTCTCTACCTGGTTTATGAATCAAACTATAATCATATGCTGACAGGAAAATTGACCACCTCAACATCCTAGGGGATATGATCTGGGGTATTTGCTTGTTTGTTGTGAACAGCCCCAGGAATGACTTATGTTCTGTGAAGACCGTGAAGGGTCTATATTTTTCATTGAGAGTATTTCTTATTATATATGTAAAATCTTTTATTAAAACTGTTTTAAGAAACCTATGAGAAACATAAGCTCAAATATTTAAAAAATGTAATAGACCCAGTCTATAGCAAAACACAAAGAATATGTAGCACAATATGTTCTAATGTGTTTAAACTGATGAACATATATCTGCAAAAATGTAAGTGTAGATGATACATTGGAACTTAAGCTCTTTCCTTCATCCAAACTAACATTTCAACTTTTTAGACGATCAAGAATCATAATTAGAATTACTATTTAAGAAAAGGCCTGTATCTCTTTTCAGTTCATTGTGGCTATGCTATCTTATAGGTTTTACTTGTTATCATACAGATGTTGATATTGGGCATCTATCTGGGAGCCAGTTTTGGGATGTAGCGGTTCAGGCATCAGGCTACAAACCTGGAGACTGTAAGTTCTTGTTGTGCCTTAGGCACAAAGCTGGATGGGTGACTTGGGCTTGTTACTCTCTCTCAACTCTTGAAAGGACTTTATCTAAAGCACTTCTGAAAACCTTGCCAACAAAACAGCTGGAATCTATCTAGGAAGTCTCGAAGAATTGGACATTATATGGAAGATTTTTTTAAATTCACCTGAATATTTAACATCTTGTAGTGCTAGAGGTGGTCTTTATTAGCATGCTGTGAACTTCTAGCCCATGGCTTTTCAATCTTTTCACAGATTGTATCACTTTTAGGACATGACAATATTTGAGTACCACTAGTGCTTAGCAAGATGTTAAAAATTTGATGACTAAAAAAAAAAGATTTTGGGTTTTACTGATTAGATTGATTTGTTGTTATAGAAATGGCTAGTTTATACTACTATGGAAAAGTAAAAAGTTGAGTTTTGATGTTAATGCTTCATTCTACTGCAACAGAGGAAGTTGGACGTTAATACCTTTTCCTTTCCCTTTCTCCCCCTCACTTTTCTTTCCTGTTTTCCTCCCCATTGTGTCTGACTATTTGCTTTTGTATTTTTGTATCATATTCTATAATCTAATAAAATGTCATAAACCATAAAAAAGGGGAAAAGTACTGATTTTAATTTCTTTGGTGGCAGTTCCTTTGCTGAATCACTTTCCCTTTGCACTGATGAATGTATGATGAATTTATCCATATTTATTAATATGCACCAATACCCCCGTCTCCTTTTCTCTTCCAGATGTGGTAGAAGCGCCAATCAGCATGTAGCTGCGCACACCAATCCTGGGGCCTCTGCTTCGCCCCAGCAGTTCCAGCTGACTGTTTCTCCCCAAGGCCTGTCTGCTGCTCTCAGTGATAGCAGATGCTGCTGGAAGCACCAATCAGCTGGAGCCATGTGCGCCAATCCTGGGCCCTCAGTAGAGCCCCGTCAACAATGCAGCTTCAGCTGACTCTCCCCCAGGCCTGTGTGATGCTGCTGCTGCTTCAGCTCATCCCCCCAGCTACACTTGTCTAGGTGACGTACCATCTGCCAGGTGCCGAAGTACCACCAGTGGTATGTGTACCCACAGACTGAAAAGCTCTGTTCTAGTCCAACCCCTGCTCAAGCAGGATTATCCTATACCATTCCAGACAAGTGGCTGTCCAGTCTCTTCTTAAATGCCTCCAATGCTGGAGCACCCACAACTTCTGAAGGAAGTCGTTTCACTGGTAAACTGTGCTCACTGTTAGGAAATTTCTCCTTAGTTCTAGGTTGCTTCTCTATATGGCATAATATATTTATTACAATAAATAGGTTAGTAAAAGCTGACAACTACAATTGAAGAAGAGATGTTCATTTGCCTGCTGTTGTCATAATGATTTTGATCTATAGCATTCTATTCCAGAACCTTGGCTTTCTGTAAGATGAACCACTTACTGAGCCAATTAATAGGGGAAAACTCTGGCAAAATTTCCAGCCAAGTTTCAGCAATGACATTTGCTCCATTCAATTCTTCTAAATTATATATTAGCATCATTAAATGCAGTTCCAATCTCATTATGTGGGAATAATTAATGAATCATGAATTATTTGAATGTGGATAGAATTATACTCTAATGTATTTGTCAAAAAGCTGGAACAAATAGCAAATAGACAATCCCTTCTTTTCAGATCAATCTTTTTTTCATCAATGTGGACGTTACACATAGAGAGAAAGTGAATATAAGGAGAATCTGAACAATGAATGTGTCCCATTCTGACACTTTAAAGTGGTTAACATTCAACAACCGCAACCAAAATTTAATAAAAATAAGCTGGCCAAGTTTAACATTTGCTATGGTAAAAAAAGGATTATGAACAGATCAATGCAATGGGAGTGCTTCTTTTGTACAGAAGTTTCATTAAAATGTCAAAATTTAGGAAAGAAATCCTTTGGCGTGGTGATGCTCATTTTCCTATAAGCCATATGGGAAAAATTAGTTCTGGGGAGGAGCACTTTGTTTTAGTTTCCAAATAACCCATATAGTGCTAAAATAGGATGAAATACCAGTGTCCTAACATCTGAAATAACCCTCTTATATGTATCATGTGAGTGTGTGCAGAATGGCTAATTCAGGACATCATATTCTGTACTACTCCAGCAAAATGACTTTTTGGGGGAAAACAGCATAGTGTGGGTTTTTTCAGGGTTTTAAAAATAGCTCTTTTTCTGCTAACAAAATGGCAATTTTTAAGTACCCCTTGCCTATCTCTTAGCTCATCATGTCGCATCTATGTACAAATAGTAAATACATTCTTGCTTCTGCCAGCAATAATTATCCCTCAGAGACTTTTTATTTTTATGCCCTTCAGATTTCTCAAGTAACCCTAAGGAATAATCTTCTTTATCAAGATACCACACTGCCAAACATTCCACTTTTCCAGGCTGATGTAAATTCAGTGAAAAGGCTTCCAGATTTTTTTTGACAATTAAATTTGGATACAAATAATATCATCTATGTTATTTAGAATAAGGAAATATTTGAAATCTCTGCCAAGCCATTCAAATGTATGTTAAAAACTAACTTAAATAAGTAATACATGTGTTAAAATACTTAACATGTGTAGGAGTAACTGCCTAGCTGAACAACTCACAAAACCAGCCTCAAATGGTCATACAATATCCAGCAAGATAGCCTTGAGCCCTGCTTACTAAGCTGTCTCCAAAGAGCCTTTAATCGTGTCAACCTCTGAAATTTGCCTAGAACAATAAATGTCTTTTTTGCATAGCTTTCAATGAAAGAGCTGCTATAGTTCTCTAGCTGTTTGAGATTTAGAACAAGACTTACTAGGCCTGGGCTCTGAGTAGCTACAGCTAATCTAGCTGCAGCATCTAATTGACAATCATGTACTGTTAAGTCAAAGTGAAATGAATAGTTCACCTTGAGAAAAGAGGGTCTCTCAAATATTAAATGTAATCTGCCAAAGATGGCTTCACTTCATCCTTTGTCTACTCAGCATCCTATTTCATCTCCTATCACTACTACTTCTTAGCAGTCTGAATTATGTGTGGGGATGAAACTGAACGCAGCATCTAGAAAAGCATCACATTATTGAAAAGGCTGAAGAGTGCTGACCCCCTGTCAACCTCTAATACATACCACCTCTCTGAGAAGATATGTAGCTGTCAAGGAGCTTGCCCTAAAATCACAAGCTAGGCACGAAAACACATGATTTCATCTGTCTGAAGTTTCTTTCTACCTTTATCCCTTGGCACTGTGTCACCTAGGGATAATTATGAGCTCACCAACTCTTTTTTCCCCTTGACAATGTGTCACTTAGTGATAAATACAAAGTTATTGGCTATTAAATGACATTCAAACCTTGCATTCACTAGTGATGTAGGCTGAGTGATGTGGTTTTTATTTGTAGGTTAGGGTCTTTTGATATTGTTTTTTTCCAAGAAACATATGAAGGTAAGCCCATGAATATAAAGAGGTTTCTTTCTATCTCATTTTTAGCAGCACTAGTCTGAGAAGGAGCTGTGCTCAAAGGCACCTCAATATCTTAATGGCATCTGATATTTTTTATTCAACCATTCCAGTGCCAATTCTTTGTAAATCTTTAGAGTTTAGGCCTGATAATCTAAACCCCTTGTTAGTTTCACACCTTTTTCTGAAAATAACATAATCTGTTGGATTGCTATGAGGATTATCTTTTGAAGGTGATTTTTTTCAATTTTTGAACTCTGAACTAATTCTGACAGATGATTTTAATGTCAGACCCGATATGGATGATATATCTCTTTTCCACCATTGTATCTTCCATTAAGTGTCCAAGCATTTCAAGTTTACAATCTGTTTATTGGTGGGGTTATAAATAAGTTAACTTGAGAAGCTGAGGTAAGGCTTGCTTCATTAGGTTGTAAATCAAGTCAGAAGTTACAGAGAAAGTGAATTCTTGTGTTAGAATCAGAGTATATTGCTGAAAAGAACTAACTCAAGCTGTAGTCCACTGAGTCCAGAGTTTAGGCAAAGATTCAAATTGTAGAACAAAGAGGCAGATTCAGCACATAGATCTAGAGATAAGCAGAGTTGTTTCCAACAAAGGAAAACAGAACTTGGAGGTTGCTATATACTATTATTATTGGCTCCAGATATTGGCTTTAGGAGAATTGACACCTTCTCCTCTCAAGAGCAATTGACCACGTGGTCAATTATGATCAGGCCATTCATTACTTGAATCATGCCCCTTATTCTCAGGCTTATTGTTCCTGGGAGCTGCCTCAGTTATCTAGTTGACTGTTGGGTCCTCAAGCTGGTAGTTAATGTGGTCTGCCTGATTAACTGCAGCATCAACTTCAGAGATGTGATACAGTTTAATTGTTATCTAGCTAGTTATCATATCTTAATGTCTTACCACTACAAAAACAAAGGAATCAGTAATGTGATGGGGGAGGAAATGAGCTAGTAAATTCAATCTAACCATTCTAAATGTTCAGTCCTAGGTGATTAAATAGCATAATTAATTTCCTGGATCTCAAGAGCACTAGTTCATCAATTATGAACTGAACATACATTTCACTAATCAAACAACTTTTAAAGGTGCCTCTTACTCTAAAAAATGATCATTTCTTTTTTTTTTTCTGAGTAAAATGGTCAGAAAATAAGATCAGAAAAACGAGGATCTGATTGCTCTCTAAAGAAGGCTCTCATACGATAGTTTGAAAAATGTGCAATATCAAGTACAGTTTTTCAGCACATTTAGCAAACTCCATCTTAACAATTTGGGTAGTTTAAGTGAATGATGCCAACAAAGTTTTAAATATATACATTGATCTCCAGTTGTATTGAGATTCCCAGCTCTAAATTTTCTGCATCCCAGTTTTATAAGGAACATGTCAGAATGAAGGTCAAATTAAGACTATAAGACATAAAAAAGTCTTACAGTCTCTTACTAGTATTTGATGCCATGAAAAGGGCTATTTATACTGCAATATCAAGTATAAGCATCAACTCACTGCAAGAAACAAACCAACTAATGTACAGCACAGCTGCAGTTATTAAAAGAAACCCCAAACAGTGCACCACAAAAATGGAAGATTAGACTAGAAAATAAGATCAGCAAGTTGAGATCAGATGCAAGCAAGCTAGAACAGATGAAAGAAAAGAAGCTGAAAAGTAAGAAGACTAAAGAATACCTAATCAAGAAATACCACTTAGAAACAAAGAAGATCAAGGAAGCACTGGAAATAATAAAGCAAGAAATAAAGCTATAGCTAAGAAGATCAATAGATACGAAGCTCAAATTGCAAATTATAGGCAGAACCTCCAGTTTCAATCCAATCAGAAACGTTTCTACCAATTCATCAATAGAAAAGCTGCAGTGAATCAGTCAGTACCTGACAAGGAAGAAACAATGCAGTTCTGGGTGCAGATATGGAATAACCCAAAGAAATATAGTAAGAATGCAGCTTGGTTAAAGGTGGATAAGAATAAAAAAGTTAAAATGAAAGAACCAGTAATAACAGAAGATCAAGAATAGGTCAGCATCAGGTGAAGATGAACTGCATGGTTTTTGGTTGAAACATCTAACTGGTGTTACCCACTCATTACCAAGTAATTTAATAGCATAGTATAAGGAGGCGAAATTGAAGAGCAGCTAACATCTGGGAGAACTTACCTGATAATGAAATATCCAGCAAAAGAGGCAGCACTAGCCTACTACAGACCAATTACCTGCTTACCAACAACTTTCAAATTGTTAACTGGTGTGTTAGCTGATGCAGTCCGACAGCATCTAGTTGGAAACGATCTCTTTCCACCTGAGCAGAAAGGAAACCACCCCAATAGCAGAGGAACAAAAGATGAACTCCCAATTAACAAAATGATTTTGGGAAACTGCAAGAGAAGGAAGACCAATCTGAATGTAGCATGGATTGACTACAAAAAGGCATTTGACTCTCTGCCACATGACTGGATAATCAAGTGTCTGGAAATAACAGGAGTCAGTAGAAACATCAGAAGCTTTGTGCAATCAATGGCACAATGGAAGACATAGTTGCAGGTCAATGGTGAAAGACTGGGAGAGGTTAATATCAAGAGAGGAATATTTCAAGGAGATTCATTATCACCACTACTGTTTGTTATTGCACTTTTTCCTCTGTCAACAATACTGAATAACTCAGGCCATGACTATCAAACATCAAAATATCTGCCAAACTATCCCATCTCCTTTACACGGATGATCTGAAGCTGTATGGAAAAACAGCTGAAATAGAATTGCTGCTCAACATTGTATGTATATATAGCTAAGATATTGCAATGAAGTTTGGATTGGACAAATGTGCCACACTCACTATCAAACTAGGAAAAATAGTGAAAACTGAAGGATTCAAGATGCCCCCCCCCTGAAAATAACATTAAGAATATGGATGAAGATGATTACTACAAATACCTGGGTACCCTTCAAGATGACAACATCAAGCACACTGAAGTCAAGAAAATGATTAGATGTGAATACATCAAGAGAGTGAAGAACATCTTAAAGTCCAAACTCGCTGGAGGAAATACTTTCAAGGCAATCAATACCTGGGCAATTCCAATCATTAGAAACACAGCTGGAATAGTGAACTGGACTCAAGCAGAACTAAAAGCAATAGATAGGAAGGCCAGAAAAATAATGATAATGAATCATGCCCTTCATCCACGCAGTGACATTGACAGATTCTACCTACCAAGGCAAATAGGTGGGTGTGGAATGTTGCAAGTACATCAGATGATTGAAGAAGAAAAAAGGTATGAAAGAATATCTGGACAATGAAGAAGATGCACTGAAGTTAGTATGCCAGGAAGGCTTACTGACTACTGGAGAGACCAAACTGGCCTACAAGAAAGACCAAATGAAGAACAGAATAGAGGCATGGGAAGACAAAGCACTACATGGCCAGTACATTAAAAAAAATAGCAGGGAAAGCAGATAATAACAAAAGCTGGCAATGGCTAAGAGCAGAAAAATTGAAGAAAGAATCTGAGGGACTAATTTTGGCTGCACAAGACCAAGCCTTAAGGACAAATGCATACAAAGCCAGAATTGAGAAGACAGCAACAGATAGTAAGTGCTGCCTATGCAAAGAAGCTGAAGAAACAGTGGACCACCTGATAAGCTGCTGCAAGAAGATTGCACAGACTGACTACAAGCAGCGGCATGACAATGGTATATTGGAAGATCTGCAAGAAATATAATTTGCCTTTTAATTGATGAAACAACAAATGAAAAGAATTATTATCTAATACAAACAGGAAAAAATTTACAAGATTCTGATATAATAATAAAAATGGAATGGACTATAGAATTTATTTTTTATAGATATTTTATTGGTTTTTAACTATAACAATCTCCAGTGCCTGGTGTATAGCGTGTTGTCTTGGTTTATATTTTAACAAGAAAAAGAAACAAAGGACAGTAATAATTAATTAACAGTCAATAATGGTTAAATTTGATAATTCCATAATTAATATATTCCCTTCTCCCATTTGTATTTTCCTTCTTCAACCTTAGCCAAGATATATTTCTTAATATTTTCAATATATAAATGATTAGGTATAGGCATTTTTTATATTTATACAAATAATAATAATCTCTCTATATAACATTTTTTTCAGCTTATATTGTTCTCATAACCATCATCTCATTAGTTCAGCATACATCCTATTTTTATAATTTTTGTTCGTTTAGATTCCCTTATATTCAATCCAATTCTTATCAATCATAATTTCTTCATATTAGTCATCTAACTGTCTAAATTTTCCCATTTAGGTATATCATCCCAATATCTTATGTCATGCATTATAAAAATACTGTACTTTTTATCTGTCTTATAGTATCTAGATATAGAATCCTTTTTAATCAGTTTATATTTTACTTATATATTAATAAAAGTTACATCAACCTACTATTTTAACATTTAATATATTATAAAACATACTATATTACTTAAATCTCATTATCCTCTTGTTGTAAGGCCCCTTTATGTTCTAAATTTTCTGTTCTTTTAGCCATATTCAAACAAATGTTTATTCATGTAATAGTCCACCTGGTAGGGTGAGTCAAATCTCTTGTATCTGTCTCTGACCTTCTTCTTTTGCCAAGTAATTGTTTAAGTTGATGTAATCCACTTCCCCAACAGTTTCTCTATTTTTACAAATAATGTTGGGAATACAAAAGATGAAGTAAGTAAGATAAATTCTTTCTGTCCCCCAAACTTTAATGGTTCTT